GAATAAAATGTTGTTTTGATGTAACTTTGCCACTACATTGGCGACAGTGTGTAAAAAGTTCTAATAGACAGTTCCAGAACACAATGAAACAAGAATCATTTTCAAAATTATTTTTTTCAGTTAATGATAATCTATTATTTTTACTACTTGAACTACAGTTAATATCAGCTTCACTGTCTGAAGAACAAGATTCATCACTGGATTCTGATGAAAAATCGAATGATAAATCATCATTTACTTCTAAATTTGTATAAATATCTTTTCCAATTTCACACTGTACACTCTTATCATTTGGATTAATTTGTTCATCTAAAATATCTGTATCTAAACTAGTGTCACTAAAATTAATCCCATCGTAGTTTTCTACTAGCATCGATTTTTCTGGTGTACTTGATTGAATCAAACTTGCAGTCTCTGTGTAATACCTACGTTTTACTCTTAAATCACGTTTACTTGGTAATAAATCAATTGTTTCGGATCGTAAAGTGGGTATTACTCCAGAATTTAAATTTATTCTGACTTTAGTATTAGGCATCAATTTTTCTCTAAGAACATCAGATCGATTAAAGTCTTCAAGTTTAAAATGTTTTGAACACAACCTAGAATTTTTGGATGGCTTAAAGTTTTTTCGTTTCCAAAAATCTACCCATTTTTTGTGTCTGTTTGGTGATTTTTCACGATTTGGAAATCTGTAGAAATGTAAACGTTTCGAAMTTTCATCACTTTCAGAGCATCCATAAGCCGAACAGAGAGGCATTTTTAAACCTAAATTATGATAAAAATTACTTCAAGATTATTTTTACCAATAGAGTAATATATTATGAATTATGATCAAACAAATTGAAATTAACTATGAATAATTTTATCAATTAAAGTAAACAACGATCTAAAAATATATTTTGTAAAACTGGCGTTACGAAAATAAACACAGATAATAATATTATATTACACACAGTCAATAAGCGTCGTTGCCAGTCGTCGGCGTGTCATCAATAACGCTCCCTACAGTGCATATTTGTGACCATCGTGTATAAATTGTTATATTGTATATTATATAAAAGTGAATTGGAAAAATGAGTTTACAGCCTTATTGTTTTGAACCTACTCTACAAGATATTGATGAAACAACGTTAGAAACAATATCGGTTAATCCGTTAGTGGCGATTAGTTGCGACGAAAGAACAAAAAAGGAAATCAAAGATTGGTGTTTATGCAAGAAATGTATAACTATGACAACTGATAAAGAATGTGTTTGTTGTTTCGAATTTGACAATTTGATTAAATTGCATGGTAAAAAAAATTGTATAACTAACATTCCATCTTTTCGAAAAGTTATTATGGACGAGGAAATTCTCAACATCACCAGGCATCAAATGATTATTAAAGCTCGTAACAGTAACAAGAAAAAAATGCTTTCAAGTCCATGTCCCCAGAATAAAACTTGGAGATTTATATGTTATAAACAATTTATTCACTGGATAAACTCATGGTCTGCAATAGGCAAAGGTATATTATAATAATTAAAAAATATTTTGTTTATATAGGTTGTTTTAATGAATTAWTTGCGGACCAGTAAATTGTAATAATTTCTACAGGTAATCGAATATGTATTCCAGCATGTGTAGTGAAAGCGATTMGAAAAAAATATCCAGAAAATAATGGAAATTACGTTGGCTTCAAAGAAAACAACAAACTCCCAGAGTAACATCATATAAAATAAAAATAGTAGTATTATACCTTTAATGTTTTCTATAATATATTATATTATAAGCTATAATTATATAGACATAATGTAAACTCAATTACAAATAAAAAACACAAAATATCACAACATTAATTATAAAATATTGCTATTATAAAAAACTAAAGTCTTTATGGTAATATTTAAATATTTAAATATTTATTCTTTACTAGTACTTACCTATTAGAAGTATAAAACCACTAACCAGTATGAAGTAGTACGTCGTCCGTGTCCGTGTGTAATATTATATAATGCAAATACTGATATTATTCGTGTGTACTGTGTACACTAGTAATTATTATCATGCACTAATAGTAAAAATAATACTATTATTTGCGTCGCAGAGTGGCGGCGGAGTGTGGACTGTGATGATCGGTGACGGCAGCGACGGCGGCGCACCAGTGACGTCACACGTAAAACAAAACTGATCAATTTACGGGGGAGCTATGGTCAGATAAAAATTTTGAGACCACCGAACATTCTTATTTTTCATGNCATCATCCTTGACTACTGATACCTGTAGCCGACGTGATCACTACACAACTATCGTTCTCTCTTGGATTGCATCACAGTCTATAAGGTATAAATCTTTTGTAGCCAATAGGGTAGGCGAAATACAGGACAGTACATTACAGTCTGAATGGAATCACGTCAAAACGAGCGAAAACCCCGCCGACCTAATTTCAAGAGGTTGCTGTCCGTTAAAACTGGCTGAAAATGAATTATGGTGGTTCGGTCCTACCTGGTTGCAGCAGAACGACTGTGAGTGGCCAGAATCATCGTTGAACATATCACTTAACGAGTACGATGCAAATATTAGTGAGATAGAAACAAAAAAGGACAAGACGTTCGTCATGGTAGCTGCGGCAGCAGATGAAACGATTTTACATCGTTATTCGTCGTTATCAAAATGTATACGGATAACTGYATGGTGTTTGCGTTTCAAAAATAATGCGTTATTACAAGGTACAAAATGTAGTGGTTCGCTTAGTGTCGGTGAGTTGGATAACGCGAAGACGGCGCTAATAAAAATGGTACAAGCCACTCATTTTGCTAGCGAGTTGCGTGAATTAAAAAATGGTAACGGCCTATTATCAAAAGGTAAGCTATTACGGCTACGTCCTTTCTTGGATGAGAACGAGTTAATACGCGTCGGGGGTCGGTTGAAAAATGCCTCATTAATTGACATACAACACCGTCACCCGATTGTGCTGCCAGCTGATAGTACATTTACAATTTTATTATGCGCGATCAACATGAGCGTTTGATGCACGGCGGGCCGCAAGCAGTATTAGCCGCAATACGCGTGAAGTATTGGCCGATAAACGGGCGTAATTTGATACGCAATATAATACATAAATGTGTTATTTGTTTCCGCAGTAAACCTATCACCGTACAGCCTATTATGGGAAACCTTCCTAGTGATCGCGTGGAGCCCGCGCGCCCGTTTCTTAAATGTGGTGTAGATTTCGCCGGGCCATTTGTTATAAAGTCCAGTCTGTTGCGTCAAGCCCCGTTAATTAAGTCATATGCTTGTGTATTTGTTTGTTTCGCCACTAAGGCAGTTCATATTGATTTAGTTAGCGATCTCACGACGCAGTCGTTCATAAATGCGTTAAATAGATTTTTCGACAGACGCGGAAGAAGCTCCGCAATATATTCAGACAACGCGACTAACTTTGTCGGCGCGAACAATAAGTTGAAAGAACTACGTCAATTGTTTCAGTCAGAAGTGCATTTAAATAGTACGAAAAAAGCTTTAACCGACGTTGGTGTATCATGGCACTTTATTCCCCCACGCTCACCGCACTTCGGTGGTCTATGGGAGGCGGCGGTGAAGTCAATGAAATCGCTGTTAGGCAAATTATTGAGCAACGTAAATATGACGTTTGAAGAACTGTCTACCCTCCTAACACGCGCTGAAGCTTGCTTAAATTYTCGCCCGTTAACTCCCTTATCGTCCGACCCGTCTGATCCTACATGTATTACTCCCGCACACTTCCTAGTAGGGGACTCTCTTGTCGCTATACCTGAACCTAATTTGTTAGATGTACCCATAAATCGTCTAACGAGATGGCGCCGAGTTACTCAATGTTCACAGTTACTATGGCGACGTTGGAGCACCGAATATTTGGGACAGTTGCAGGAACGCGCCAAGTGGTCAAGCAGCAAAGGACCGGAAATCAAATTAGGTTCCGTGGTTTTGATTAAAGAAGACAATATCCCCGCATTGCAATGGAGATTAGGTATCGTCGTTAACGCACAGCAAGGTGATGACAAAATAATACGGGTAGTGCAGGTCAAAACAGCCGACGGTGTATATAAACGTGCTGTAAGACAATTATGTCTGCTGCCTTTCGAAGGCAACACAGATTGACATGATAATATTATGTATTTAAAAATTAAAAAAAAAAAAAA